AGTGATAGGTAACTGCTGACATTCAGCATAAAAACACAAAAAACATTTCTGATGCAGAATCCAAGCAAAAGGAGTTAAGCTTACTCTCAGGGAAACCACAGTGACAGAGGTTTTCTTTAAAATAGTGGCTGATCAAGTAATACAATCTAGTCTATTTATTGTGTTTATATAATTACGCAGAGCCAACAGGAACCAAACAGATGGGGTTTCCCATCACCCCATTCACCACAGACTCAGCATTTATCTAGCTATATGGAAGCCTGGCAGTCTATTAAGAGAAACACAATCTCTCCATTTTCCACAGACAATTATCCTTAGGCTTTGTATACACTGAGCTGTGATCAGGTTACTCATCAAAGCATTTTATGACTAACTAATAACTTTAGGGCACGACCTCCGACCTTCAGAAGGAACCTGACAATAATTTTGGCTTTCTGTCCTGAAGAGCATCACTGTCCCAAACCAATGAACCTGATACCACTGACATTTTTGTTGTGCTCCTTTTCATACACTGTGGCCAAATATTTGGGTGGTTGCATATTAGGGCTATTGTATTCCGTGAAGACCATCAATGACTTTGGAATCGCACCATAGATTTTGTTCAGAGTACATCAGAGGGTGTGTGCTGCTGGTTACATTTAAAGCTGAATTACAAGGAAGGAAGATTGTATAACGTGAAGTAATCCACAGTAGCTGAACACAAGTTTTTTAAATTCATTTTAAAGAAAACCTGTCATCCAGCTACTGACTTTTCTGGTATAGTCTACCATTGTCTGACTCTCAAGTTGCAGGCTCTTTCCAAGGCAGCAAACCACCTACTTGGCATCACTGGGAGTAAAGTGACTGTCTAGAAGTGGTATGCACAGTGGTGGATTTTCATCCTGTGGTGCCCAAATCAACATTGCTCTGCTGGAATTCAAACATTTTTTTTGTTTTACTGGTCCTAAGCCTTAGTAAATTATGTAAATGTGTACATATATTTTTTAAGGAGAATCCTACTGATTATTCAATATAACAAATGGTCGATAACCGTACAGGCCAAAGGCTGCTTCTTTCTTTCTGCCACCTATTGGTACACACCTGCTGTGGTAAATGACAAATGAACTCCCCGGTAATGGAAATTTTAACTCAGATTATGGAAGCTTTAACACAAAAGAACACTGTAGAGAGGAGTTCCATAAATCTGGTAGGATTCATACATAACTGAGTACATTAGACATGACTGACATGATTTAGACAGTACAAGACATGACATGACATGACATGATTAATATACGTTCTTACTTAGGCATTAAATCTTGAGCCCACACTTACACCTGAGTGTTTTGTTGAGGGATTTTCAAAGCATGACAATGCTCAAGATGAAGAACCCCTTTATTTTCAATGGGCCCATTCACACTTGAGTATTGTGTTGCTTTGTTGCATGAAGCATATGAACAGTTGGAAATATATATCAGCAGTCTAAATAATCTATTTTTTTTAAACATTCTAAATATAAGTGTCCAAATCAGAAAGGAATGTATTCCTTGATGAATATTTAGGGATTGATTTACTAAAACTGGAGAGTGCAAAATCTGGTGCAGCTCTGCACAGAAACCAGTCAGTTTCCAGGTTTTTTTTTTTGTTCAAGCCTAATTGAACAAGTTGACGTTAGAAGCTGATTGGCTACTATGCACAGCTGTACCAGATTTTGCACCCTCTGGTATTACCCCGTAGTGTCTTCTAGTGGCAACATGCACCCTTAAAGTGGAAATGCACTGCATATGAGTGCCACAAACCAAAAATGCTAAATCATTTATTTTTAATATTCAAAACAAACTCCTTTATCCATCCATGTCTTCTTGCTTTATTTTGCTGCGAGTTCATTTTGAAAAACACCTCCTGGCATTTCTAGCAGTGGACATCTTGAGTAAGGGCAGATGATTCATGTAGCAGTTACTTCCTTGAATCCATCTGTCCTTAGCTCAGGCATTGGCTAAGCTGAGAACCCTCCCTCCCCTCCTGAAGACTCCTGGGATGTATAACATAATTTGCCTAGGCAAGGAAATCCGGAAGTAAATTGAGTAATGCAAAAAAGGTTAAAATGAGTAAATATGATATACTTTCCTATCTATTTACTAATGCTAGCAGCATAAGGATTAGAAATAGTCCATGTTGATTGAGACAGTGAATTTGCACTTTAAGCTATCACTAATAGATTTTCTGTTGAATGTGTTCATAAGAACATTTGTGCAAAAACTCTCAGTACATTCGACAACTTGACAAATGTCATTCTAAAGCAGTGGTTCTCAACCTTTTTAATGCCGCGACCCCTTAATACAGTTCCTCATGTTGTGGTGACCCCCAACCATAAAATTATTTTCATTGCTACTTCATAACTGCAATTTTGCAGTGGGAGGAGTAGTGCCATGTCATTGGTGTCAGTGGAAGGAGTAGTGCCCCATCACTGATGTCAGTGGGATGAATAGTGCCCCATTGTTGGTATCAGTGGGAGGAATAGTGCCCCATCGTTGGTATCAGTGGGAGGAATAGTGCCCCATCACTGATGTCAGTGGGATGAATAGTGCCCCATCATTGGTATCAGTGGGAGGAATAGTGCCCCATCGTTGGTATCAGTGGGAGGAATAGTGCCCCATCACTGATGTCAGTGGGATGAATAGTGCCCCATCACTGGTGTCAGTGGGAGGAATAGTGCCCCATCACTGATGTCAGTGGGATGCATAGTGCCCCATCGTTGGTATCAGTGGGAGGAATAGTGCCCCATCACTGATGTCAGTGGGATGAATAGTGCCCCATCACTGGTGTCAGTGGGAGGAATAGTGCCCCATCACTGGTGTCAGTGGGAGGAATAGTGCCCCATCACTGGTGTCAGTGGGAGGAATAGTGCCCCATCGTTGGTGTCAGTGGGAGGAATAGTGCCCCATCGTTGGTGTCAGTGGGAGGAATAGTGCCCCATCGTTGGTGTCAGTGGGAGGAATAGTGCCCCATCGTTGGTGTCAGTGGGAGGAATAGTGCCCCATCGTTGGTGTCAGTGGGAGGAATAGTGCCCCATCGTTGGTGTCAGTGGGAGGAATAGTGCCCCATCGTTGGTATCAGTGGGAGGAATAGTGCCCCATCGTTGGTATCAGTGGGAGGAATAGTGCCCCATCGTTGGTGTCAGTGGGAGGAATAGTGCCCCATCGTTGGAGTCAGTGGGAGGAATAGTGCCCCATCGTTGGTGTCAGTGGGAGGAATAGTGCCCCATCGTTGGTGTCAGTGGGAGGAGTAGTGCCCCATCATTGGTGTCAGTGGGGGGAGTAGTGCCCCATCATTGGTGTCAGTGGGAGGAATAGTGCCCCATCATTGGTGTCAGTGGGAGGAGTAGTGCCCCATCATTGGTGTCAGTGGGAGGAGTAGTGCCCCATCATTGGTGTCAGTGGGAGGAGTAGTGCCCCATCACTGGTGTCAGTGGGAGGAGTAGTGCTCCATCACTGGTGTCAGTGGGAGGAATAGTGCCACATCATTGGTGTCAGTGGGAGGAATAGTGCCCCATCATTGGTGTCAGTGGGAGGAGTAGTGCCCCATCATTGGTGTCAGTGGGAGGAGTAGTGCCCCATCATTGGTGTCAGTGGGAGGAGTAGTGCCCCATCATTGGTGTCAGTGGGGGGAGTAGTGCCCCATCATTGGTGTCAGTGGGGGGAGTAGTGCTCCATCACTGGTGTCAGTGGGGGGAGTAGTGCCCCATCACTGGTGTCAGTGGGAGGAGTAGTGCTCCATCACTGGTGTCAGTGGGAGGAATAGTGCCACATCATTGGTGTCAGTGGGAGGAATAGTGCCCCATCATTGGTGTCAGTGGGGGGAGTAGTGCCCCATCATTGGTGTCAGTGGGGGGAGTAGTGCCCCATCATTGGTGTCAGTGGGAGGAATAGTGCCCCATCACTGGTGTCAGTGGGGTTAGTAGTGCCCCATCACTGGTGTCAGTGGGAGTAGTGCCCCATCACTGGTGTCAGTGGGAGGAATAGTGCCACATCATTGGTGTCAGTGGGAGGAATAGTGCCCCATCATTGGTGTCAGTGGGAGGAATAGTGCCCCATCATTGATGTCAGTGTGGTGGAGGGGGGGGGATAGTGCCCCATCATTGGGGTCAGGGGGGGGGGGAATAGTGTCCCATCGTTGGTGTCAGTGGGGGGGGGAATAGTGCCCCATCGTTGGTGTCAGTGGGGGGAGAAATAGTGCCCCATCATTGATGTCAGTGTGGTGGAGGGGAGAATAGTGCCCCATCATTGGTGTCAGTGGGGGGAGTAGTGCTCCATCACTGGTGTCAGTGGGGGGAGTAGTGCCCCATCACTGGTGTCAGTGGGAGGAGTAGTGCCCCATCACTGGTGTCAGTGGGAGGAATAGTGCCACATCATTGGTGTCAGTGGGAGGAATAGTGCCCCATCATTGGTGTCAGTGGGAGGAGTAGTGCCCCATCATTGGTGTCAGTGGGAGGAGTAGTGCCCCATCATTGGTGTCAGTGGGAGGAGTAGTGCCCCATCATTGGTGTCAGTGGGGGGAGTAGTGCCCCATCATTGGTGTCAGTGGGGGGAGTAGTGCTCCATCACTGGTGTCAGTGGGGGGAGTAGTGCCCCATCACTGGTGTCAGTGGGAGGAGTAGTGCTCCATCACTGGTGTCAGTGGGAGGAATAGTGCCACATCATTGGTGTCAGTGGGAGGAATAGTAGTGCCCCATCATTGGTGTCAGTGGGGGGGAGTAGTGCCCCATCATTGGTGTCAGTGGGGGGGTAGTAGTGCCCCATCATTGGTGTCAGTGGGAGGAATAGTGCCCCATCACTGGTGTCAGTGGGGGGAGTAGTGCCCCATCACTGGTGTCAGTGGGGGGTAGTAGTGCCCCATCACTGGTGTCAGTGGGAGGAATAGTGCCACATCATTGGTGTCAGTGGGAGGAATAGTGCCCCATCATTGGTGTCAGTGGGGGGGAGGAATAGTGCCCCATCATTGATGTCAGTGTGGTGGAGGAGAGAATAGTGCCCCATCATTGGGGTCAGGGGGGGGGGGGGAATAGTGTCCCATCGTTGGTGTCAGTGGGGGGGGGGGAATAGTGCCCCATCGTTGGTGTCAGTGGGGGGAGGAAATAGTGCCCCATCATTGATGTCAGTGTGGTGGAGGGGAGAATAGTGCCCCATCATTGGGGTCAGGGGGGGGGGGGAAATAGTGCCCCATCGTTGGTGTCAGTGGGGGGGGGAGGAATAGTGCCCCATCGTTGGTGTCAGTGGGGGGAGGAATAGTGCCCCATCGTTGGTGTCAGTGGGGGGAGGAATAGTGCCCCATCGTTGGTGTCAGTGGGGGGAGGAATAGTGCCCCATCGTTGGTGTCAGTGGGGGGAGGAATAGTGCCACATCGTTGGTGTCAGTGGGGGGAGGAATAGTGCCCCATCGTTGGTGTCAGTTGGGGGAGGAATAGTGCCCCATCGTTGGTGTCAGTGGGGGGAGGAATAGTGCCCCATCGTTGGTGTCAGTGGGGGGAGGAATAGTGCCCCATCGTTGGTATTAGTGACACAAATGATGGGGCACTATTCCTCCCACTGACACCAATGATACTTACTTTGCTGACCCCTGCTCCAGCCTGGGCTCGCTCTCTCACTTACCTGTCAGCTGTCTTCCTTCTCTGGCCGCTCTCCTCTTCACTCGCTTCGGCAGCTCCCTCGGTCTTCTTTGATGTACGCGCGCTGCCGCTCGGCTCCTCCTCTCCAAGCTCCACCTCCTCGCCGGTGATTGGCCGCCTGTGTGCCTCTCCTGAGCTACAGTTCCGGTGGCCAATCAGCGGCGAGGAGGCGGAGCTGCTGAGCGATCCCGGAGGTGTGGCCAAGTGACAGCAGCGTATCATCCCGCCCACACATCGCCGGAGACTGCAGCGGTGTCTCGGTTCCTAAGACCATCGGAAATATGTGTTTTCCGATGGTCTTAGGCGACCCCTGGGAAATGGTCGTTCGACCCCCAAAGGGGTAACGACCCCCAGGTTGAGAACCGCTGTTCTAAAGTATTTTAAAATGATTTTACTTTTAACATATGATATTGGAACGAGTGGACTTTACTGAACAAAAACCGCATTCACCATTACAAATTTGTTTGTTCAAGAAAAAAGTCCACCCGCTCCTTCAAAATTTCTTTCCACTGCAGTTGAAAACAAACATTCTTTTGTTTCCCATTAATAATTAGAAAATTGAACTAGCATACTTATTAAAATGAAAATTTTTTAATGGAATTCTACTAGTGTATGTTGATGAGCTGAATCACCTACAGGATTTTTATGGTGGGAGCTAATTTTTCTACCCCTACCTGAGGCCAATATAAGGGTGTTTTTTGATATGAAGCTTTTGTTATTATTTATTTCAGGTACTTATATAGTGCCGTCAATTTACGCAGTGCTTTACATCTATATATATTGTACATTCACATCAGTCCCTAACCCTCAAGGGGTGTATAATGTATAATTTACATTCATACACATGGTAGGGCTAATTTAGACAGGAGCCAATTAACCTACCAGCATGTCTCAGGAGTGTGGGAGGAAATTAGAGTACCTGGAGGAAGCTCACACAGGCACAGGGAGAACATGCAAACTCCAGGCAGGTGGTGCCATGGTTGGGATTCGACCCAACGACCCTAGCACTGCCAGGCAGAAGTGATAACCATTTAGCTACTGTGCTGCCCCGTTTTGTTAAAGTAATACCATGCGTCTTCTTATAAAGGTCCTTGTTCAGGCACTTCCTGTTATGTAGTGACAACTATCTCCCAACTGTGCTCCACTTTTGCACCCTCTCACATGCACCATGCACCCCTGATGGAGACTACAAATGGTCCCACAGAAATGGAAGCTGGTCCAGAAATGATGTGCTGCCATAGCAAGCATACACAGACACAAATTTCCTGAAAAAGGCTGGAAAAACATGTAAATTGTTTTAAAAATAGGGCTTACCAAAAGCAAGCAGTATGAGAGTAATCATGATAACAAGTCAGTAGGCTGTACTTACTCACTTGTTATCAGGATTATTTTTTACTGGAACTATTTATAGACTTGTGACACTTTCATACTTTTTTTATGGTCTGTTTGAAAGTAATCTGATATGTGGATGCCATTAAAATTCTCAGTATCAACCCTTATATTTAGACACACACGCCGGAAATTGTTGTTTCATTTCAGAAGCATTTGTTCATTGAAGAATTTGCTTTGTCATATTTATTATGTTTAACCGATTCCTTTTCGGAATTAATTTTGTATCTTCGGAATTTGTTGCGTATATTCGTTGGATCTGGGTGGATTTGAAAAATTGTGCATTTTTTGTGGAAGATTTCTATATATTAGTTTTCGGTTTCGATATTTCGGATGGAATCGTTATTCACATATCTAAATTATCTGATATTTTAAGACGCAACGGAATAAATAATGCAATATTTGGCAGCCTTGATTTTTTCAAGCCTATGAATTGCATTAGACTGTGGAACTGAATCGACTGACTGTGACAATTACAATTTCAATTTAAATAACAAATTTACTAGACTCCAAATTATTCAATAAAAATTTGAAAATGTAGCTCATTTCCACATGGAACCAAACCACTATCGCATCCTGTGATGTCAACCGAATGCAATTAATGCATTTGTTAAATTCGTTATATATTTATATATTTTTAAGGATTTGTTGACATTCATTACTATGTCCATACTGAGATTTCAGAATTGATTTGGAACGAAACAAAATGCACATGTCTACCTATATCCATAATTCTGATTCACACTACTACAATAGGCAAAAGAAGGGTTTTTACTCAACAAACTTCTAACATTTTGTTCCCAGCACTAGACTTTTACAAAGTGTCATAATACAGACCCAAGAGACCTTGAGCTTAGTCATTGTTTTATGAGAGCCTATACTGAGAGAGATATGCTGAAATTGAAGACCTTCTGTTAACATTTTCTATAACCTGTCTGTCACCGGCTTTAATAAGTGACACAGAACAAGTACAGTAAGTGAAGCCAAAGAGAAGTCTGAACTCTTGATTTGCCTTAGAAATTATGAAAGCTATAATATTTTGACAGCCAGGCAAATAGCATATTCAAAGGGCACTGTTCTCTCAGTTCATTTCAAATTATTGCTGCAAAGGCTTGCTTACTTCTATCTCCTCAGTTTGCATATTATGGCAATGGAGAAGATGAAGCAGATACCTCTGACAATGGCCTTAGCTAGAGGGCAAAATTAGCAACAAGCTGCAAAAAAATCCAGCTGGGCTTATAAATTATTCCCACTAGTACAATAGGCAAGGGGTTTTGTAACGCAGAACTAAACTCTCTCAACCAACATTGCCTATTTTCAAACCTTATGCTCCTAGCCTTAGTAAAAAGATATGAAAGTATCTGAAGGTTTCTTCGGGTTTCTGGTCCAAGCCAAAGTGATGTAATACATCCCAGTAGTCCTCATGGTCATTTTTTCTTTTCTTGAGGAGCAGAAGCTTTCTCAGCTAAACAGACCCTTCTGCCTGCGTGCATGAGCTAAGGGCAGAGTGATTCCAGGAAGTAAATGCTACATGAATCATCTGTTCTTACTGAAGGTGGCCGTGGCTTGAAATGCTAAGGGAGTGCTTTCCAAAGTAATTTCTTAACAAAATAAAAAACGGAGACATGGATGAATGAGTGAATTTGCTTTGAACATTAATATTCAATCAAAGCGGAGTTCCACTCACTCTGTCAAAAAATAAAAGTCAGCAGCTACAAACACTGTAGCTGCTGACTTTTACAAAACAGCCACTGACCTGTCCCTCGGTCCCGTGGTGTGTCCCCCGCAGCCCTCACTGGCCGCCCTGTATTCCAGGAGGCCGGCATCTTCAGTGTGGGCACCTCGCTATGATAGCTTGCGGCTTCACAGCCGGGTACCCACTGCGCATGGGTGAGTAGCGCTGCACTTCATGAATGGTCCTGTAGTCTTCTGGGACCTATCATGCGCCCCAAAAGTCTACGGGGAGGGAGGGAGGGAGGACACCTTCCGCTTCTGATCGCCTAGGCAATCGGACCAGAAGTGGGAGCGGGTACTTGTCAAATTCGGGTACCCGCTCCCACCCCCCAAAGGTGTCAATCCTTAATGGGGAGTGGGGGACCAGTCCTTAAAGCGGAACTTCCCCTTTAGGGTGGAGCTCTGCTTTAAATAGCGTTTTCATTTTGTGGTGCGCAGATACAGTTTTATTTTTATTTTTATTTTTTATTTGCCCACAGACAAAGCAATTGTCACAAGAACTGCCTAAACATGTGCCAGATTAAATGATGATCATCGTATATCTATTGGCGCAATTTGAGCCACTCAGGCTCATATAGAGTATTTGAACTGTGTCAGCATATTCTTAAAGGCCACTTCTAATACAACACAGCTTGGGGCTTTTTTACAACATTTTTAAATATATTTATTGCCTACAGAAAGAAACTACCCATATAATGTGCAAACATATCCAAGTTAATTTGTCTTGTCTACAAGTCAATGCTCTAAACATAGCCATCAATGGGCAAATCTTTCCTGAGATGTGACCAATGATCTCACATGGTCTCTCTTCTTATATGTTCATATGTTGATTTAATAGATTCTCCAGCCAACAGTTGTTTAAAGAATTGATTAGGCAAACAGTGTACTAACATCAAGGATTACCCATGAATACACACAGTTGTTAATTCCTACACTCTACAGTATTGGTCACTAGCAATGTTCAGCTCAATTATATTTACTGATGCATTATGGCCAACTTAAAAGTTGAACTATGGACAAAATCAAAAATTACATATATGATGCATTCTGCCACTAGCATTATCATATCAGACTCTATTTATCTATGTGTTAACATAATTGTATTTCCCGTTCCTTCCAGTAACTGCATTATTTTCTCACTTCCTGAAATAGAGTGACAATTCTGCTCAATCTGCGGTAAAATCATAGAGAAGGGTTATCACCATGTGGACAGGGTTGTCGTAAATGAACTTGTAGTTCTAAACTGACTTTATATATCATATATGCCATTTATGTATTTTGTATATGCAATCATTTGGCAGTCGATTAGACCCAATCTAATATTATTTGGCTGTCCTCATATTTCCTTCTGTTTTGTCTTACCACTATTTAAACCAGGTCTCATTGAAGAGCTTCCAGAGGGAAAGACTCTATCTAAGCCTCTTGTTCTACTTGCTTTTGTAAAAGTAGGCTTGGAAGATGAGTTGTTTCCTGGCACATGGGACAATTAGCCTGTGCTAGTCAAGCTTGCAAGAGTCAGGTCAGAGGTCGGTCACAGTCAAGAGGAGACTACCTTCCAGTCTGCTAAATCTGTTATCATTTAGCTCTAATGTGATAGCTGTCTGTCACACAGGCATCAGTCTAGGTTACACCTATTGGGAAACTTCCATGTTACATTAAAACACTTTGGAAAACAATGAGAGAAATGCTCTATAATCTGAAGTGGTGAAGGGGGAATTCAATAGTTAAGACCTGGATTTGTACATGAGAATTAAAGAGAATGTATTGTGATTCTGCATGGATTTTCTTTCTTTTATCATTATGGTTGGGAAAAAAATATATGAAAATATGGGGGAAAATAACTTTTTATTCATGTA